ATTTATATTTATGTTTATATTTATATTTATATATTTATATTCATATTTATATTTATACATTCGTATTTATATATTTATATTTATATACTTATATTTATATTGATATATTTCCTAAACTTCTGTTGTCAAATTTAGGTTTTACCAGTATTCGTCATCGTAATCAGCAAAATTGCTGGTGTGACTGACATAGCAAATTGTAATTTAAAAGAGTGCTTTATTCAGTAGAATGGATCTTGAAGAGAAAATTTTAAAGTTCACTGAGATATTTGACTACAGTTAAATATGTAAGCCACAACTATCCGACAGTTTTTTTCTTTTCAGGGGTTTAATTTATTTCTGATAAATAGTCTCGCTGGTTAGAGTTGTCGATCAGGTATCGCATGGCATTGTAGCAGTAGAATGTCTTACCGTTCATTTTCATGGCTTCATAGCAGAGTTTCAAACATATACTTTTTACGGCGACCAGACTGCACAAGATGTGTGACTGTTTTTGTGTACCGTTCTCTTGCAACAAAAAGTGACTCGCAAAAACCTTTTCGGTCCCTGATAGGCGACAAAGAAGTTCAAAATCCTTTCCAAGACCCATCACGTCACAAAAAGGTTAGTCTTATTTATCGTTTGTTAATTTCAAGAACAGGCTATTATGACTACAGTTTTGCGCTTTCTGGTTTATGTTCAAAATGATGCAGCATCATTTGTTTTAGTAAAATAGAGTAGTTTTAATTAAATGCCAATGAAAAACATTGTGCGCTTCCGTTTATTCTTAGTTAATAATTGTGCACAGGTCCTTCCTAAGTAACTTTTTTCATTTTTATATGACAAGGCACTTCTGAATACTACTGAAAAATTATGCTGTTTGAAAATGCTGAATTTCAATTCGTCTTTTCGTAAGCTTATTGTTCTGATGTAAGCCGGTCTCGCTGTTTAGATAGTAGTTCGCAGTTTTTCACGATTTAGTTATTGAGCTGTCTATAGTTCAGTTGTCCCATCGAAGTGCGTTGTGTTGCTGTAAGGGAAAAAACTTTATTTTTTTCCAGGATGGGTACTTTCTTTTAATGACAATCATCTGTTTTATTAGAAATTTTGAGTTTCATTGAAGAAGTAGGTTGAAATGAATCTAATAAAAATTAATTTTTCCAATTATTAAACTAAATGAGCAATTCTGGCTGTTGAAAAAACCACGTACATGGAGAATTTTCGCAGCAGTGCGTTCTTTTCCAGTTGGTGAGTAAAAGATGTTTGGTATTTGGAGGTCCGAAAGGCAGGAATGATTAGGGGAAGAAAATTTTAAAACTTTCAGAGTAAAAAACGATTAATGGCGGAGTTATGGTCATTTTACCGGTCGTTTTCAAATCAGTCCCAGGCTATTGTTTTATTGAATCCTTGGGAGGTTCCCGCTTTTTGTACAGAGCTAGAACTTTGTTTATTGCCATAAGGCGGTTAAGGTATACACTCTGGTTACGTGACTCTTGTTAAGTAAATATATTTTTGGGTTTCATTTTAGATTTTTTGATTTTGTTTGGAACTTCATGAGTGTTTCTGCGTAAGTGTTATATCGCGCGTGTGTTTTCAGAAAAGTTTGCATAATTGCCGGTTTCAATTTGGGCTGGAATGAAAGTCATGTTGAGTGCGTTTTTCTTCACATCGTTTAAACTTTTTTGTCTTTTATACATCTATATAAGATGACTGGAATTTTATGGACTTAGACTGAATCTGTTGTTCACTTGAAGAATGAGACTTTTGGAAGCTGTAGAAGTAAAGCATTCTGGACAGTGCTTTTTGCTTTTTATTTTTTACAAGTTTTGATGATTTTTTTATCAATAAAAGCAGCAGTTCACTTAAAAAGTTCTTTTAATGAACTACTATTTATCAAATGGACTGCTATAATTTTTTCTCTCATGTTGGCATATTTGTCTCTTGTGGTATACTGTTTTTTTTTTTTAATAATTTTTTGTATTTTTTTACCGCCGAGAAGTTATAGGCTTCTCTTTTTGATTAGTCTAAAGAATGACTGCTTAGGATGTGGATCTAAAACGTGCCTTTCCCGAGAACACTAGTAAGGGTATTACTGGAAAACCTCACAAAAGTTTGTTGAGCGAATTAGACGGTGTGAAGAAACTGGCCGATGACGTGCTTACCAGTAGCAAAGTTTCAAGTAAATGGAAGTTGAATGACCAGCAAAAATCAGCGGCAGTTAAAGCGGTCTTGTTAATTTTTAGGGATATATCTTACATATAAGTAATTAGCCATTTCTATAAAACTTCCATTTCCAGATTTCATAAATTATGAAGGATAAATGGTAAAAAAAAGATGTGGTAATATTTTTTCAGAAAAGTTCTGGATTTAGTGGTTCGTATGAAGCAAAGTCTAGCAGTGGCGGTCTTTTTTCCTTAGATGATGGAGAGTCATCTAATGGGTTTGACTTAGGGAAGAAAAAGGAAAAATCAAAAGATGGAGTGTGGAAAAAAGTTTCAAAAAAATTAGG